ACGGGGTTTCACCATGTTGACCAGGATGGTCTTGATCTCTTGACCTCGTGATCCACCCGCCTCGGCCTCCCAAAGTGCTGGGATTACAGGCTTGAGCCACCGCGCCCGGCTAACTACCATATCTTATTAAGAATTTATAATTTGTTGTATAGAATGCTCATATGTTTTCTTACTGGTAAGTTTCTTTGAAAATGTATTAACCTTGAAAAGCAGAGTAGGTATTTTCCTACCCTCCTGTGGGTTCCACTTTAAACTAAGAGGATGGGCAAACATTAGATTGTTCAGATTATTGAACTGTTACTAACCAAGCCAAACAGAAGCTTTTCAGATGATCTGCTGCTTTGTTTTTTTCTTGTCACTAGTTTCCACTAGCATGGTCGATTAATTTTAGGTTTATGTCTAATGGTAAAATCGAAGAGATCTTCAGTGATGTTTGAACTGAGGAAAATAGTTTATTGGTTGATCTGTTTTATTGGTCACTGTTTTTTTTTCCTTCTTGGGGTCCTATCTGTAACTTAAAAATAACCACCAGTGGATGGCACTATTGGCTTTTTCCACAGTGATCTTAATTCAGATAGTCTCTTCTGAAGTACCCGATCTAGACCAAAACATTCTAGTTTTTTGGAAGACTGTGGTCGTCGACAAATATTCAGTCCTTTGTGGATAATTTTATAGTTATAAGAATCTAGATCTTTTTGGAATTATAAAGGAGATGCAGTCATTCCTTCATGTCCCTCGGTTCTGCATCTGTGGATTCAACCAAGCACGGATCAAAAAAGAAACCAATAAAAATAATACAACAACAACAACGATAAAAAAACAAGTGAAACAATACAGTGTAACAACTGTTACCATAGCATTTGCGTTGTATTAGATATTGTAAGTAATCTAGAGATGACTTAAAGTATACAAGAGGAAGTGCATAGTTATATGTGATTACTGTACCATTTTATGTCGGGGACTTGAGCATTGACGATTTTGGTATCCATAGGGGTCCTGGAACCAGTGCCCCCATGGATGCTGAAGGATGATTACTACTTGCTTATGTTCTTTTGTTTACTTTAGCTAACTCCCTCTGGAATAGCATTTTAAATCAATGTCTGATATTTTTGGATAAAAATGCTCTGTGATGTTGATTCATAAAAATTTTCCCAAGAATTGGTATATTAAAATTATTCTGGGCCAGATGCAGTGCTCATGCTTGTAATCCCAGTACTTTGGGAGACTGAGGAGGGCAGATCACTTGAGGTTAGGAGTTCGAGACTAGACTGACCAACATGGTGAAACCCTGTCTCTATTAAAAATACAAAAATTAGCCAGGCATGATGATGCACACCTATAATCCTAGCTACTCAAGAGGCTGAGGCAGGAGAATCGCTTGAACCCAGGAGTTAGAGGTTGCAGTAAGCTGAGATTGCACCACTACACTCCAGCCTGGGTGACAGAGACTCCATCTCTTAAAAACAAAGAAAAAAGTTACTCTTTTTTATAATTTTAAAATAAAATTTCTTCTATTTGAATTTTTAAAGTTAAAAACATAAATTCTGTCATTGCTAACAGGGCCACATATGGACTCTTATCCTTTCCTGTAGAGCTTCAGAGTGTGGAATATGATATGCTTTTGACCTTTTCTCTGAGGATGTGCTGCCTGGTTTCATGGCATCTGCCTGACTGTCACAAGTATCCAATTTTGTGACCAGTTCTTTTGCAGGAAATTGTTTCTGAGAACAGTTTATCTTGTTTTCAGGGAAGACAAGAAATATCCTTACTCTTCTAACAAAATCTGAATTCTTAGAAAAACAGCCAATGCCTAACTTTTAGCTCCACTTAGGCCAACTATATACATACACATACACACACACACACACACACCTCTCATGAACTTACCAAGTTACTTAATATTTTGAAAATTTGTCTAAAATCCTTTTAATGAACAGCATTCAAGCATGTATGTATTAAAGGAAAATTACTGAATGAGAGGGGAAAGAGTTCTGAAAGTAATATTTACACTTTGGCTTTTTTACAGATAATATTATATTTCTGAGTGACCAGACAAAAGAGAAGGAGTAGAATGGATGACTCTTCTTTGGCCATCACTTGGTACAGTCTCATTTCCAAATCATGTATAATCCTTATAGTTCCCAAGGACAAGAATTAAAATACTCTTTTACATAAAATGAGTGATTTTTTTTTTTTTTTTTTCTGACTGCCGTTCTGTCTCCTCTTTTTGTGATATAATCTTGATAGCTACTATCTGTTATGGCACTTACTAGCTGTTTATTCTTTTAGGGGTGGTTTCTATGTACAGGAATACAAAACAGTAAACTTTCATGCCCATTTGTGTTATGGCAAAGGGATAAATATCCTTTGGGAAGGTCTCCTGGTTTTTGTGTATGCTTCTTTTATAATATTGATTTGTCCACTCTGAATTTCTTGAGCATCACTGTATGTGAGACATTTATCCCATGGTTGTAAATATTGATATTCTTACCATTTTGCTCTGTAGACATGAAGGCAAGGACTGAATTTTCTGTTTGTCTGCATTTTAGACAGTGCTTTACATAGGATAGTCACTCGGCAAGTATTGGTAGATGAATCATCCCAATGGGATTTGAAGCTTCAGCTCAAATTGAAGGGGATTGCTGAGCAGTGGTTATTGTCTCACCTAAACATCTTTAAGACTAACCTACCTTCTTGATATCTTTCATATTTGGACAGTTTCACTAGTAGCATTTATGAAGGACCTGAAATATAATTAGAGATGAAGTTGTTCATCTCCAGGTGATGTCACAGGAGTCGTAGTTCTATTATTCTCTATCTTTCCATGCCCCTCTTATCTATCCTTTTAGAGCCTTATCAGAACTAGAAGAGAATCCTCTTAACAATCTCTGACAGTGCTTCCCTTAGAGTTTTAGGTCTTATATTTTTCTTTTCTTTTTCCACATTATCTCTTGATGCATGTACATAGATCTTTATGTATATCATATAATCTTAGTTTTTATTATGTGGCTCAGGAAATTTTAGAATACTAATAATTTACCAATGAAGATTAAATAAACTCAGTTTTTCTGTCAGTGCATCTTTCGCTTTTTAAAGTTTGCATCAGCCCTCCCCAGGTCTGCCCGCCGGTTTGCTGCTGTGTCCCAGAGGTTGGCTGCTACTGTGCAGGCTCTTCTGTTCAAATGGTAGAAGTCTCTCATACTGTCTAGGCCACTGTGTCTCCAGTTTGGCCTCTGGCTCAGCCTATATATTTGCTCCCCAGCCTACATGTTCTGTCCTCTCTGCCTGAGACTACGTGTACAGTGCTAACAGCAGCTTAGGTCATATTGGACTTCATCAGGTTCAGAATTCACAAGCATATATACCTGTGACGTTTTTGTTTTAAGGTATTTTCTGCACATTTGAGTAACTTTTTTATACTTACAGTGCATTTTGGTTAAGGAAAGTTGAAATTCTTTAGCTTTATTCTTTCCTTGCCCAGAACAGTAGAAAATTCATTGCTGTTTTTCCCTGCCAGCCATCTTTTTTTTTTTTTTTCCTGCAGCTGGGACAGTTAATCAGCATACTAATTCTGCTCTCTAAGTTCACACATTAAAACTGCCTGGTGGTATAGTCTTTATTCCTTTATGCCACATTTCTTAAGCAAAATTGTGTAGTGGATATAATTTATCTTTCGAGGAACTCTTTCTTCCATCAGCACAGCAGCTTTTATATGCCTTAAATATTGTGAGAAATTATGCAGATTAATAGTCTGTTTAAGCAGGGTGATAAATCTCTGCTTTGGGAAAATGACATGGTGAACAGAAGAGCTAAATTACCAACCCAGAGCAGTTTCTGAGTCCGGAATGCAGGGACAGAAGAGGATGCTGTTCTGGATGACTGTGAGCCAAGGGGCTCTGCTTTAAACTCTCCCCTGGAGATTGCCTCTTCTCTCCATGCCTCTGAAAGGCAGTGGTGCTTTATCAGTCTTAGATATATGGGCGTGCAGTCTTTAGCATGCGTATGACTCTAGCAGACTCATTCTTGTCTCAAGTCGGTTAGGCTTGCTAGGTAAACTTTGCCCACCGCCCGGGAAGCCCCGTCTGCTGAGAACCTCTCCTGCTCCCTATCTGGTCTAGGCAGAGCAGTGGCATGAGATATGATAGCAGTAAAAGACCAGGGATCTTCTAACCCAAGTTTTGGGTCTTGAATTTCCCTTTTTGATGTTGTGATAGTGTTAGGTAATAAACCTGCAGAAAATGCACTGTGACTTCGATTTGGAGGTTTCGTGTTAAATGGTAAGATGAATGTCATATATAGAAGAGTGGGAGAAAAATATCAAACAGTACATCTGGGGTATCCCATTTTTGAAAAAGAAGTTGTAATTAATGTAAGATATGCTTAAAGTCTGAAAGGAGAAACATCAGAATTTATTATCTCTAGAGAGGGCGATTATGTGTGACTTTTCCTTGTTACGGCTTTTTATGTTCTCCCTCCCCCCCTCTTTTTTTTCTTTTTAGCATTGAACATGTAGTACTTTTGTAATGAGAAAAAATAAAACTTTTGTTTTGGGAAAAAAATCTTTCCACTATTTCTGAGGCAGACTTACTTTACTCATTCACTTTAGTGAGTACTTCACTAGATATGGACAAGAAAATCTTTTATTATTTTCCCCCACCATCGGCATTTTAGCATCTCATGCTTGTATCATTCATTCATCTGTTAATACGTGTACACAACCCAAAATGATTTACTTTAAACTCCAACCTATGTGAGATCCACTTTTTGCTGCCTTTGTAGTTCTCAATGATTCATTTCTTAAAAAGCACTGGACATTTAATTCAAAGATATCTAAAAACACCAAAGATATGTTTCCGTGGCAGTTTTGGCAATGCAGTATACATTTCTTTGGGAATTACTTGTCATTGCCATATGGATTACAGCCTAACTTTTGCAGCTAACTTAGGAGAAATTAGTGCCATTTTCTCTTTGTTCCCAAACGAGATGATGCAATTCTTGAAGGCAGGGTTTTCTTTTACTCAGACTACCCTTTGCCCCCGTCTAACTCTATCTAGAACAATGACATGGAGATTTATAAATGCTTGTCTTTCAGTTAGGCGGGACTTGAAAATGAGGGCAGGATTATTTTACTATTTTTCTGTCAGAGTTTGCATAATATTCTGTGAAGGTTGGTGGGAGTAACAGAAAGAAAATCATCTGGAAAATGAGAGACAATTCCGTGGTTAATGAATTACAGGGAAATCTGTTAAGATGTAACAATAATCATGTTAATGACTGACATTTCTCTTCCGGTTACTATGTACTGAGCACTAAGCCAAGTACTTTTTATCATTGTGTCATTTAGTCGTTATCCTAAGAAGAAGGCACAATAACCCCATTTTACAGGTGAGAAAACCCCAAACTGAGAGAGATTAAATAACTTGTCAAGTCATGTGTCTTCTAAAATGCACACCTGGAGTTCAAACTCAGGTATGTGAAGTTTGCATTTTGCCTTCTGCCCACTGCCTGCTTCCACTTGCATTCATTCTCCACTGGTCCTCCATATCCACAAATTCCCACAGACAACTGAGACTGGGTAATGTATTTTAGTTTATTATATTTTTGAGGTGGAGTTTTGCTCTTGTTTCCCAGGCTGTAGTACAATGGCACTATCTCAGCTCACCGCAACCTCTGCCTCCCGAGTTCAAGTGATTCTCCTGCCTCAGCCTCCTGAGTAGCTGGGATTGCAGGCATGCGCCACCATGCCCTGGCTAATTTTGTATTTTTAGTACAGATAGGGTTTCTCCATGTTAGTCAGGCTGGTCTCGAGCTCCTGACCTCGTGATCCACCCGCCTCAGCCTCCCAAAGTGCTGGGATTACAGGTGTGAGCCACCACACCTGGCTGAGACTGGCGTGACTGGCTGAATTGCTTCCATATTTTCAAGGCATTGTTATAGCAGTGCCCTACTCCCAGTACCAATTCTCTGTCTTAGTCCATTTTCACACTGCTGTAAAGATACTACTTGAGACTGGGTAATTTATAAACAAAAGAGGTTTAATTGACTCACAGTTCCACATGGCTCGGAGGCCTCAGGAAACTTACGATCATGATGGAAGGCAAAGAGGAAGCAAGGCACGTCTTACATGGCAGCAGGAGAGAGCAAGCAGGGGAAACTACCACTTTAAAAACCATCAGATCTTGTGAGAACTCCCTAACTATCCCAAGAATAGCATGGGGGAAACCACTTCCGTGATCTAATCACCTCCCAAAAGGTTGGTCCCTCCCTTGATATGTGGGGATTACAATTTGAGATGAGATTTAGGCGGGGACACAGATCCAAACCATATCACTAACCTTTTTTTTTTTCCTTCAAATGTTGACACATTTATGGCATAATATTAATCACATTTATTAATATTACCACTGAAATCAAAACATGTTAGAAATTTGTCAAGTTCTTTATGGAGAATGTAGATTTTCTAAACTTTTATGTTCAGGGGTACATGTGCAGGTTTGTTATATAGGTAAACTCCTGTTATGGGGGTTTGTTGTACAGATAATTTTGTCATGCAGGTGTTAAGCCTAGTACTCAATAGTTATTTTTCCTGATCCTGACACTCACACCCTCCACCCTCTAGTAGGCCCCAGTGTCTGGTTTTTCCCTCTGTGTGTCCATGTGTTCTCATTATTTACATCACACTTACACATGAGAACATTAAGTATTTGGCTTTCTGTTCCTGCATTAGTTTGCTAAGGATAGTGGTCTCCACCTCCATCCATGTTCCTGCAAAGACATGATCTCGTTCTTTTCCATGACTGCATAGTATTCTATGGTATGTATGTACTATATTTTCTCCAACCAGTCTACCATTGATGGGCATTTAGGTTGATTCCATGTCTTTGCTGTTGTGAATAGTGCTGCAGTGAACATCCCACAGCCATCCTTTCAAGAGTGACCCATTTCAAGAGTGAGCCAACATTTCAAGAGTGACCCATGCAGCGTGCATCTAAATCACACTGGGAGTTTAATAGGTTTTGGTTGGAGGGAGAGTTATGAGTGAAGAATACCTCTACTTCTTATTCTGTCTGATTTTCAGTTTAATGATCTTAAATGAGTTTCTCTACCATGTTTTCTTAACATATTCCTTTTTATCATGCACTTTCTCTTTACTGGTTAGAATAAGTTCAGAGTGTCTCTT